AAATGCATTTTTCCACACAGTGGATATCACTAAACATGGCGAGGTGACAGTATATGACACCATACTACGCGCGACCACATAAAAATGCAGCACGCGCGGACACGGGGCAAGGACGGCGGCACAATATGCCGATACCCAAGAAGACACAAGCCTAGGTCAAAGGTGACAATACTGTGACAGAAATCTTAACATCAGCCTGGACGCAGCTCACTCTTCATGACCGTTTTTATCGAAAATAGACCAACAAAACACCAAGGCTCCTTCGTCCAAAACTCAAAACTCGACATGCCGCTCCAAAGGCATTGCAAAACAGCGCATACCAACAACGCATAATAGCCAGCAACGCACACGACAGGATTTTCGAGGCCCGAGTCGTCAGCCGCCGCCGCCACCTCCCGGCAGCTGATTGCCGATCGTGGCGACCTCTTTACTCTGGCAGAATCGACCCTACCGAGCGGCGACAGCATTTAGAAGCAAAGTGACAAATGAATTCACTGCACTTATGTCAGAAAATCGAATGCACATGCCATGGTCACACGCGGTGCCGTCCACGGGGCCGGCAGAAGCTGCACACTGTCACCGAACACCACCTGCACCTTGGACGCAGTATGTGAGGGCTTGGCGGACGCGCGCCGCCTCGCGTGCGGTATTGGCATCAAGGCCCGGACACGAGGGAGCACACTCGGCGCAATCAGAGCACACCGTCCGGGGCCGTCAGTGTCGATCTCCTGACCTCACAGAAAGTTGTGCAGCACACAGGTGAACGCCGTCAGTGTGGTGACTGGTGCGCAGCACACCGTCCCACGGAAGATCGTCTGTGGGCCGTGGTGCAGATGCTGTCTCTAGGCAGAGTCAACAGTGCAGTGGCAGAAGTTGAACATTCAGCTGCTAGACTCCTTTTCGGGTCAGCAATGCCGTCAAGTTGGCCATCAGGTGGTGTTGATCAGGTACATCAGGTACAGAACCTCTTGACTCATCAGGTAACGCTGTGACTTGTCTGCCAGGCACAGAGGGTGGACATGTCAGAACATACTTCAAATACATTTTTAAAAATCATTTTTTAACCAAAAACTCTGCAAATTAGGAAGCCTGGAATAGGCTATTGCTTAGCATCATAAAAAATACCCAAATACCCAAATCAGGTTAGGCTTGGTTTACCCAAATACCCAAATCAGGTTAGGTTTGGTTTTTTGAACTTCAGGCTAAAATGAGAACTATCTTAGCATCATTATCCTTGATGTAGCATTGTTGACGCTTTTTGTCTTGTACAATTGGCAATCAGTATTCAGTGACACAGAATTGGAATTTGTGGTTCAGAAACCTAGCATTATTTGAAATAATAGCATTTTAGCAGTGCTCATTCTTTTTGAAAGCAAGTGTATTTTTTAATATAATTTTCTAGGTAATTCATTTCCTACTGAATATGGTTATGAGACCATTGTTACTAATTTTGGTATTATTAAGGCAGCTGTAGCATGAGTGGGCATATGCTGTAGAGACTGGAGTGATTAAAGTCACTAGAGACTTGAGGTTTTTTTTTAGACATTATGCAGCAGCCTGGGGAGATATGCAGAGGCAAGTCTAGGCACCACCAGAAGGGGGACAAGCAGTCAGCACAACACACAGCGGGCACAAGGGGAGAAGATTGTAAAAACTATTGCCTGGATCCACCTCTGTGGACATCCTCAGGCATGCCTCTGTGGACATCTCCAGGCTGCTGCATGTAAAAAAGTATCAAGCCTCTAGTGACTTTTTCCACACTGCAGCAAATGCCCGCTTATTCTTGGTCTGCTCTACCTTCCTCCAATTATGAGTTTTGTGTGAAAATGACATTTTTACATTGGTGGAGCTTGTGTGCGCATGGTACACATAAGCCATGCCGGCAGCATTGCTGCAATGAATAGGAAACAGCTTCAGGGCCAAAATACATACCACCTTGCCTACATACCTTGCCAAAATACATGACATACCTACCACCTACTGTGCATAATGCAATTATTTATGTACTAATAAGCCATGGATTATCATTTGCCATGTGAGCACGCACACACATGCGAACCCAATGCGGATCAAGTTTGGCCTGGGTTGTTTATCCATGGTACCAAGGAAAACCAGCAGAAACAATAACAAAATTGCAAAGCTACCTGTTTGATTTTGATCATGCTAATTAATGAGCAGCAATATAATATTTTGTTGCTATCAAATATTTCCTTGTGTCGCACGAATAGGTAGGCAAATAGCTGACTGATGGGTAGGCACTTTGTCCTCAAGGGCACTGATACTGAATGTAAACAATGTTCTTGTGACACAACAAGCAAGTTTTCATTACCTTATGAAACTAGTGTCAATTTCAATGTTATTAAAATATTCAATTTTGATGAAAAAATACATATTTATCACAAATAAAAATCATGGGTGATCATGGGCAAGTGCGCCGCATATGACATAAACCCTCCAATATTGTCGAATCAAGCTTAAATTCAAGTCACAACAGCTTCACGACAGGCAAACTACAAGATAATAATCCCTATGCTACTGTGCAACAAATTTAAGGTAGCCACACCAACCAATTTAAGAAAAAAATGCATCACAAATCACCTAAACCACTCACCAAGGACAAAACTGTCATGGCGCTCGAGAAGAGTCGCCGGCGACTGGCCTGTGACGCGGATCTGACGTCACCAGTTGCTGGCGATTGCCCGGCCGTGGCCCGGCGATCGCCACCGACTTGCTTACGTCATACCTACGTCACACACGATCGTTGGCTGGCGGTCGCTGGCGGTCGCCGGCGACTGCTGCTGTCGCCGGCGACTGAAAAGTTGCTACGTGTGAAAGGGCCATTAGCCTCTGCGCTGGTCACCGACTCATGCCTGTTTACGCACCCTACCCGCGCTACAATTCCGTAGTAAGCGGCTGTCAGCTGAGCTCATTGAAGGCATGGCAGGGACGGTTCTAGGAGGGGGGCAAAAAAACTTAGTCTCAGGACGGAAAATACAGACTTCTGTGTATTGTAGCCACACGGAGAGGTGGGTCTAGTCAACAAGGGGTTTAAACAAAGTCGTGTGATATTGCGCGTCCCTCCGTTAGGACTTCCGCGCACTCGGTAGCAGAGCCTTTGAGATATTGGCCGGTTTCGCTGAAGCAAGTATAACCTACCACGCAGTGAGCAGAGGGCTGTACTTTCTGCAAGTTATCCAATGAAACCTTACTTCATATTTTGTGGGAATGCAATATAGTACAAACCTTTATAAGGCAAGTAATGACATATTTCAAGGATTCATATAATACAACAATTCATTTTAAAGGTAGTGTGCCAGCTTTCTTGGACCGTATGGAGTTAATGGCCCAGATAAGGAGAACCGGATTTTTAGAACTTATCCATACCTTCAAAACTCATGGAAACGTCTTAAATTCTTCAAATTTTGAGTACCCCAGTGCGAAATTCGCCCCGACGGGTTGTCGGTCGTACCCCAACCACATTTCACACCACTATGAACAATAAATGCACACACTGAAATCGCTATTACCGATATGCTCATCCAATCAAGTATCGATAAACACGTTCATCATCATCTCCTGCGGTTTCGAACACGCCTGTTAGGTGGCTTCTGATGCTCGTCGAGGTCGGAATTTCCAAATACGCGTGGTGCGTCGGGCCGCGCGCTCTGACTTCGGCCAAGAAAAATGCGTCAGCTCAGCTGATCATTGTCATTTCTGCCACTTGCGTGTGGTGAAATGGGGTCATAACTTATAAGACGGCTTTTTCATATCAATTATTTTACATAAAATCATATTTCAAACCATAAATAATGTTCGACAGCCAAATAAAAGAAACAATACCAATACGGGCTTACAGTTTAAGGCTCGACATTGTGTTGTCTACGATTAGACAGCTGATAACTCATTCCCGTACGTCGTATGGTCGTAACACTATAATGACCTTTGCTTATTGTCACAAGTGCGCCGCATTCGCGATTGTTGCCCGACGCCTGTTTGCAGGTGAGCCCACTACAGTTGTTATACATATCTAAAAACCGAAAAACTTTTAGGCGAAAAAGGCACTATTCCAGGCCCATTTTTGATTTTTTTTTGCGATATTATGTAAAAACAGAAGCTTCTTATCCTAGGAAAAATAAAATGGGAAATCTTTCAAAGGTGGCACACTACCTTTAACATTAGGAGTTGGGTTTTTCCCCGTATGTACAGCAGATTTAAGTGATATCAACATATTAGTGATAACCTTCATGAAACTAGTAATTTTCAAGTCCAAATATAAGGGTAGAAGACCTTGCTTGCGATATTTTCACTCCCTACTGAAAATAGAAGCCGAAAAAGAAGAGAGAAGCGCAGCGAGAAAAAAATGTTAGTAACATCTTTTCACAAAAATGGAAAAACATTTCAAAAATATTAATGAGCAGCACCAATTTGGCCTTTTCGTGACACATGGTAACGATGCCCGGGTCATCACATCTCATTCCTTCACCATCTGCTACCTGTCCTATTATCCCACGCTTGCCGGGTGTTCGCTGTCGGTGGGGATTTCTGGTTGGGCCCCGGCGGCGGCCCGGCGCCGCGCCGCCGCTGGTGTTTCCGTCGGCTCGACCTCTCCCGCTGCGGTGCGCCCGTGCGCGCCGCTGCCCTCACGTCTCCGCCGCTCTGTCCCGCCCGCGGCTGCTTAGGCCCGGGCCGGGATGTGTCGGCGGAACTACCGGATTGCTAACTAGCCGATACCTTGGGATTGTGGGAGGATGGTATAGGCATTGATGGAAGTACGCGATGTGCAATTTTCGCTACCAATGTGTCACCTACCGTCCACGATCGTTTCGTGTCCGGTGAGATAAAATGTAGTGTCAAGTGTCACCATGATTATGCCATGTTATAATATGCTGATGAATAAAGTTATGTAAAAAAAAACACTAACGCAGTCGGGGCCAGTATCACCACTGATACCACTGTCACCACTACACTGATGGACAGAGCACCAGATTGTCACCACTCACCACTGACGCAGTCGGGGCACCAGCTGTGCCCGGTGGCCGGGTCCACGGAGCCGCTGAACAGTATGAACACATCCTTATCGGAGCCGTTCAGCTCGGCGTACACCTGCTCGAATGCGGCGAACCCCTCGACCTGACGCCGCTGCACCATCGCTGCCGCTGCTGGAGACCACGCTGGAGACTATGACACTCGCCTGGAACATTGGCAGGTGTCACACAGGGGACCGGGCCGAGAGGTGGCACACGGGGAGCCGCCAGGTGAAATGAGGTCGATTAGCCATAAAGATTCGCAAAGATAGAGGGGTCTATGGCTTGGCCGGACATGTGTGTTGCCGTGTGCGATTAATGACGAGCTGATATTTCGGATATTTCAACTGGAAAGGTTCCATCACAAAATATGTCGTATTGTGCACGGGCCTCTTAAGTTTAAACCCCATAGGCACTTTTCTTTATCTTTGGTTTCAAACAAAGAGCATACAGATAACAGGCGTTCAGTTCGGGGAGGTTGGAAGAAACACTAGTGACTTTCAGTCACTAAACGCACAACAGCACACACATGTCTCGACCTTCAACACAACCATTAATCGCAAAAGCGAACAACTTTTGCCGATGATCAGATGGAAAAGGAATGATGAGGAATACAGATAAACATTAATCACTTCCGTGGCCAGCAAGAAATGGCGGCCAGAAGGCTGAGAACAATCGGTGCTTTGAAGTAATTTTGTGTGGTGATTGGATAACGGCGAGCACTGAGCACCGAAATGCAAGTAGATAAGATGGAAGTGTGAAGCGCCACTGTCCCTGGTCATCTGCTCATTGTGACTGAGTGAAAAATGGTTGCGGTAGTGAACGTAGGCCTGGATGATTGAAGACAGGACAGCACCGGACATCAGCATTATACAGAAATGAGAGGACGTGACAACATTGCCTTTGCCTACCCCTGACTGTACCCATCGAGCTTCGGCGAGCTTTCTAGCCCATCGCCGAGGGAAGCTGAAGCATGCATTTGAGGATAAGTGTTCCAGTAATCGCATATAGCCCGCAAGTTAAGAATTTATCTGCGAATTGCGATGTCTCAAAGATGCATTAGTCATAGCTTGTCGCGCTGGGGTCTGCCAATGCATGTCAGAAGCTGGAGCGGCACCCTAGCTTACTGTACTAAGACGCTGCGGTGGCAGGGAGGTGCGTGCTCCGCTGCAGGGTCAGTTCGCGGGCGGCACTGGCCGGCGACACCGTACCTGGATGGTTGTGCTCGTGGCCGTGGCTGTGGCGCCGCAGACTGTGACTCTAGTGCTGGTACACCCTGTAGCTGTCACGACGGACCCCGTGTGCCGGGGTGTGGAAGATCGGCTGGTGAGGCTTCGTGCGCCCTCGTGGCAGGTGCAGACTGATACTGGGTGCAGGTAAGGAGCTGGGTACATAGTGAATTGGATGGAAACCAGGGCAGGGTTTACATGATACGCATTGGACTGAGTACAGACGGAGACTGGACAAAGACTGAGACTGGACTGGGACTGGGCATAGACTGGGCCTGAATCAAGACTAAAAATGGGCATAGATCGGTACTGGGCATTGGCATTAGGTGAACGGGTAAAGGATGAAAATGGCCATACACTGGAATTAGACAAAACTGGGGAATAGGTACAGTTTAATTACTGCGTTGAATAGGAGTTTGACACTTTACAGTGGACAAGGCACCACACGCTGAGACTAGGTGCAGACTAGACTGGGTGAAAACACGATTTAGTACGGTTTGTGACTGGGTAACTGGGTACGGATGCAGACTGGAAGTGACTGGGTGCAGACTGAACTGGGGGCAGACTGAGGACTGGCGCAGACTGAACTGGAGGCAGTTTGAGCAGCCGGTGTCCTGGCAATAGGGGTGTGGTTGACACGGGTGCAGGTCTTCATCAGTGTTCACTGTTCACTGCACGGCCGCCCACTGTTTATGAGCCGGTCGAGGCGACTGGAGCCGGGTCTCTCGCTTGGCCCGCTGTTCTGTGAGCCTGTCCACAGTGGAGTGCCGCACTCTGGTGACTGTCGGGACCCAGTGCCTCGCGCCCTGAGTTCCCTGGGCGTCTGGTGTTGCCGGCTGATGAGTGCTCCTGTGATCTGGATCTGTCAAAGCTCGTCTGGTGGCAGACGCGCATGTGACCTGGCAACTGGGAATCAGCATGGTAATGTTATGCATGGTGAGATGATAATGCAGCACAGTTCAATGCACACGATGTAAATGTCAGATGCGGTGAGAATTATCAGTAATGAGACATGCTGTAACAATGCGTTGATAATGCGATGACAGCGTAACATGTTGCAATAGAAGCATCAGCTAATGCAATGACAATGTATCAGAATGTCCAATAGTATGATTGTGAAGCGTAATATAGGTATCTACGGTACGAGTAGAATATGTTACCGTGTACTGTAGTGCGGCTGGTGCTGCGGCGAACGGTGCTGGAACTGGCACTGGACTGGTCTAGCTGACGAACTGGAGTGGTCACTGGTCAGTCAGCTGCTGCTGCTGCTGTTCTGTGTGCCAGCCGGGAGCTGGTGGGACTGTAGTGGCCGACTCAGGTGCCGACTGACAGCTCAGTGGTCTGCAGTGAGTGGTCACAGAGCTGCTGCTGCTGTCCTGAACTGGTCGCCCCATAGCCATACCCTTGCGTCTTCACTATGCATGGCGTAGTAACCCTGAACTAAAACTCAATAACCTAAATCGCTGTAACGCTGCTAATTTAGCGTAGATCCCGCCTTTGCATTTTCGAGCTAAAGGCCTGTCGCTGAACGCACGATAAGACACGCCTACCCACTACACTCAGGTCGCGTACTTATCATGTAGTAAGTAGTTACAAAAACACAAATCTCAGTACCGAAGATAAGCGATTGTGATCATCGACCGCAGGCCGGGTCTCAGACAACGTCCGTATCAGTCAAGACTCAAGACGCTCCACTGAAACTATCGCGCTTACAAGCCACCTATTCGAATAACTGTTTTCCCAGGAAGTATCCGTTTGGATAGGGCCCAAAGAAGCGTGCCGAAACTGTTCTGCAGCGGTGAGAAGTCTCTATGCAAAGGTCCTTATGTGGTTTACCATTATCTACAAAATGCAGCAAAAGGAATAAATACAGCGTAATAAGATGGGTTGAAATGGATAATATCTTAGTGAGAAAATTGAAAGTAAGAAGGTGCGCGTCACCAATATATGTAAGACGATGACTAAACTATGTAATTTATTGAATATTGAATGGTTGTCGCCTGAAATTCATCACTGTCCTATCCGCCAATTACAGTGAATCAGCCTCACGCACTTTCGACGAACACTTCATATCACGCATCTGCGTCTCTGCCTCGGCCCATCAAACGTTTGAATTTATCCCCTCCCCCTCTCTTCCAAGTCTTCGGGCCACGCCCACCTGTATACGTCATAGCACGTCTGAACCAGACAGAGCTACACTACCCACTAAACATGGCGGTATCCGTGATACCTCCCCCCCCCCCCCCCCACGTCCAAATCTTTGACTTTGCTCCGCATACTAGGCATGCCTAAATACATGCAACTGCTCCGCCCAATAAACGAGCCGGAATCCGTGTCACTGTCCCACCTAGAAACATGTCAGTCGTGATCCTGCCCCACAACTAGACATAGCGTCAGAATCCGTGCCCCTGTCCCACCCAGAAAACATGTGTAAGCCGGCAGAGAGTGTAATGATCTGGCGCCACATGACAGTGTTACAAATTGACATGACAGGGAGGTGTTCTATGCATCGTCAGCTCGTAAGTGATTCTGTATCCTGACGGCGCACCAGTCAGTGTGAACAAAACCGCCAACGCGGATCGTCCGCCAGTGTGGTCTGTGAAACCGGTACGGGACGTTCGCCACAGGTGGGAGCACATGCGCGGCTGGATGGTCAGAATGGCGCGTCTCACGCAGTACGATACAGTGGATGGTTTGTCCGAGTCAGGTGACAGTATGGGGCTGCAGCGTGTAACTACTTGCGCTCGTTCTCGCGTACATTGTCAAGCTGTCCGTGACCAGAGCAGTGTTTTATGAATGCAACTTCTGTCCTGAACGGGAGAGTGTAGGATGTTGAATAGATATGCTGAACCCTATACAAAAAGCAATTAATAGGAAGTTAACGATTAAAAGCGGCAAGAACAGGAAAGCTAATCAGGGGTGAATTTTTATCACTATACAACGAAATGGATGGTTGAAATGGATGACTTCAAATGGAAGGGTATCCGAATTCCGAACACGGGAGACATACAACACAAATGACGAACATCTATGGAGACCGCTCCTCTCCGCACACTATCCTAGGTTCCGCCGAGACCTCCCGCAGACAGCTGGAGCCTCTGCGGGGGCTCCGGCAGGTGGCCGACCCGCCCCAAAATGAGTCCAATGTCGGCGAGTAAAACTACCCAATACGCACTTTCGACGAACCGTTCGGACGTCCCCGGTCGGTGGTTCGCAAATGACCATCCCAAATGATACTGTGGCACCTAGTTTTTCGTGCGCGACCCAGAGATGAATGATGACCCGCGATTGGGATAAGCTGGAGCCGGCGCGGCTCGGCAGGACAGAACTTTGTCCGCCGAGCGACTACATCTACCCCGCCCGAGTGGGGCGCCCCGAGCGGGCGCTCTAGGGCGCAGCGCGACCACACCTGGCGTCTAGTAGTACTGGTCGCCGTCGTCGCCGCCGCGGCCGCGGTCATCCCGGTCGTCGCCGCGGCCGCCGCGGCCCTCGCGCGGTCCGCCGCCGCCGCCACGCGTGCTCGAGAAGCACAGCTTCAGCGTGTAGGGGAACTTGCTGTTGGAGTGCGGCACCGGCAGGTGGTTGATGACGGCTAGTCCTTCGACGGCCTCGGCCACTGAGGAGAACTCCATCAGGCCGCTGCAGCTACGCTCCGAGCGCGCCGGGAACATTTTGATGCTCTCGGGCGGCGCTAGCTCGTGGCTGGTGAACAGCTCGTTAATCTCGTCGTTGGACATGCCCGGCGGCATGTTGTAGAAGTGCAGGATGCGCGACGGCCCCTGGATGCGGTTCTTGCTGGCCTTAGCAGGGTCCAGGAAGCGGTTATTGCGGTTGCGCGAGTAGTCGCCGTAGCTGGAGGTGCCGTCGGGCAGAGTGTGCGGCTGCTGTACCTCGTTCAGGTACGGCTGCTTGCTGTAGCTCAGCTGCATCCGGCAGCC